TGAAAAATGAGCTCGGGGTAAAGTCATTGAAATTCCAAAAAGTGCAAGAACTTACACCGCATCTGAGAGAAAATAGACTCAAAAGAGCTAAAGAGTTGTTTCGCTTGACCGAATGTGGTGAACTGCCGAATTTGATTTTTTCCAATGAGAAAACATTCGTTATCCCGCAGTTTGTAAACAAACTGAAAATGTGCACCTTTGGTCGCTCTTCGCTCGTATTAAACGACCGTGGCATCAGAATAAATGCCGAATATTATCGCGAAAGTATTCTGGAGGGTGTATTAAAGCATTGGCCAAGCAAACATTTTGGCCACAGACCTTGGACATTCTCAGCCACGCAGGACTCAGCACCATCGCATTCAGCACACGCCACCCAAGAATGGTTACAAAATGAGGTTCTTCGCTTCATTTTCAGCACACAATGGCCACCAAAATCTCCGGATAGCAATCCGTTGGATTTTTGTCTCTGGAGTATTTTGGAAAACAAGGTTGGCACTAAAAAATACCAAAGTGTCGATAACCTCAAGCAAGCGCTTCGTCGGAAATGGGCTAAAATACCGCAGATCAACATTCGGGCAGCGTGTGATGGTTTTATTGGCCGTTTAAAGGCCATGATTCGTGACAAAGGTGACCAATTCGAACAAATCTAAACTTATTCTAAAATTTGATGCTAATTCCGACATTTTTTTCTTTCATTCAATAAAATTAAAAAAAATGTGCAAATTATGGCGTTTGAGTTTGCTGCAGTTTTTTTATCTCACCCTATAGGTTGACATAGTTCGATTTTGGCCCTACGCTCCTTTGTTCTTTTTCGAAGAAGCCAGCCGTTAACTTAAACCTGTATTTTCACCTTTAGACGTAAGTTATTGAAATATTGTTCATGGATTTTGGAATCAATAAACCCAACTTGAATGAAATCGCTCCAATAACCCAAATATCCGTAATATATATTTAGGTATGAAAATATGGTGGTGGTAGAATCAAGAAGGTAAAATCCAGCGAACATATGTTTAAATTTTTTTTTTTCAAAATTTTTCGTTTGACAACATCTCATTGTCAAAATTTATATTTATTCACAGAAGTCAGAGATGGGAACCTGTTTTTTATCCAGTGAAATTTTACAAGGCAAATTACAGAAAATGCAGAGATGGATATGCTTATTTGTAATGACTTTACCTACATAATTTTACCATGGAAAAAAATCTTAGGAAAATGTTTTCGTTCAAATAATAACTCTATTCCAGAAGTGCAAGAATTTAAAAGTTTTTACTGCAAAGCTATTAGATTCTTGCAGGTTTTGAAACATAGCATATATTCGTATAAGAATTTTTTCGTATAAAATATATGGAAATATATTCCAATTTGATATTTTCAATACTTTCTGTACGAAAATATTCTTACAAAATGCATAAAACTAGTTTGAACTATTTCTTAACTTTTGATTTAGAGATTTACTAACCACACCTTATTATTTTGAAATCTTTATTTTGGAAGAATAACTTGTTTTTTTTTAGGTTGTAAAATATTGTTGTTGAATATTTCTCCCAGACGGCCAAGTGAATTGATTTTATTAGTTCATCCAAAAACCAGATATTCAATATCTTTCATCTTCATAATGAATTCTTTTCTGCATCTCTTCGATTTGCTAATTTATGCAAAACAAAAAAAGAAACACAGAAAATAACGAAAAACATCAAAACATTGTAGTTCAGGGTTAGATCCGAACTTGCTGCTGCTCCATGCCAATCATCAATCGGTTCATAACACTTTCTTAACGCAACATTCATTTCAAATCGCCCAACTATTTTGAATAACAGCCAGAGGCTATTGTCATTTTGGTGGTTGCCATCATCGAAAACAGAAATCAATAACCTATTAATATTTCAAAATCTTCCACCACTTTTTCAATCTATCACTCATTTTCGTTTATGAGCTCAGATAAAAAAAACAAAAAAAAAAAACAAATGAATGATAGGAGAAGTGGAAGATTTTGAAAATGATGTTGGCAAATAATTTGTATTTTAATGTCTCAGAAAAAAAAGAAACTATGAATTAGGGGGAATTACATATATTTAAATATGTAAAAAAGACAAAATGTGATGGACCTAATTTCTTCGAAATGGAAACGAAACTTGGCGAAAAATATCTGCTTACTTGGAAAAAAGAAATTTGAAGGTTCAATCGTTCATTTTCGGGTTAGCTTGCATTAGATAACTATAGTTTTCCTGTGAGTGAATATTTTGGTTCATTTTCTTCTCAGAGAGAATACAATTTCTCAGAGGGCACAAATATTCTCAGAGGCAACACAATATAAATAAGAAGAATGTAAAGAATGACGATTGAGTGACATGACACTTGGATTCGCCATATATCAGTAGTGGGATTCTCTAACTTATTTTTTGAGTTACCGACAAAAATCGGTAGCTTGGAAACATAAAATTTTGATATAAAAAAGAAGTTAAAGTTTACAACACTCGTAACTATCGGTATGCCTTAGCGACTACTGTACTATCGTCGATAACTTACCGACAAATTTCATTAATTGCCGAAAATTGAATTTTACCGATTTTTTTCGGTAACTCAGAAAATGAGTTACCGTGATACTGGTAGCGTAGGCCGACGTCAAGGAATTGGACGAAAAAAGAAACAGCAACATCAGCAGAAATGGTTCGAAAAATAAAGAAGCGACTTGATCGAAACCCGCTTCGCAGTGGCCGAAAAATGGCTCGTGAGCTGAACATATCGCAATATTCCATTCGGCAAATTTTAAAAAAATAGTTCGGGGTAAAGCCATTGAAATTCCAAAAAGTGCCGAATTTGGTTTTTTCCGATGAGAAAACATTTGTTGTCCTGCAGTTTGTAAACAAAACAAAATGATCGTGTTTACTTGCCAAAGAGGTTAGCTATGCACCTTCAGTTGGCCACCAGAACTCAAGTGCCGGCCATGGTTATGGTGTGGGCCGCCATAACAGCCGATGGTTGCTCTTCGCTCATATTAATCAACCGTGGCATCAGAATAAATTCCGAATATTATGACAAAAATATTCTGGAGGGTATATTGAGAGGCTTGGCCAAGCAAACATTTTGGACACAGACCTTGGACATTCCAATAAGACTCAGCACCATTGCACTCAGCACGCGCCACCCAAGAATGGTTACAAAATGAGGTTCCTTGCTTCATTTCCAGCGTACAATGGCCACCAAAATCTCCGGATACCAATCCGTTGGCCTATTGTGTCTGCAGTATTTTAGAAAGAAAGGTTGACATTAAAAAATACAAAAGTGTCGATCACCTCAAGCAAGCGCTTCGCCGGGAATGGGCCAATATACCGCAGAGCAACACTCAGGCAGCCTCTGACGGTTTCATTGGCCGTTTGAAGGCCATAATTCGTGCCAAAGGTGACCAATTCGAACAAATCTAAACTTATTCTAAAATTTGATGTTATTTCCGATATTTTATGCTTTCATTCAATGAAATTTGAAAAAAAAAATGCAAAAATTATGGCGTTTGACTTTGTTGCAGTTTTTTTTATCTCTTGGTATTTGGTTATGCATAAGAAGTTTTATTTGGACTTTTGTAGACCAATATAGACCAAATTCATCTTCTGAAAACATACTAAAGATATTCCGATCTTGTTCTCTTATTGGAAAAATTACATTGACCTTGTATTTGTATTGGATATTTGCTCTTCCATCTGACGACCATTGAAGGGAAATATTTTGGCCTTTATTTTTAAACCATTTAGTTTTCTGCAAGAGCACATATCTTTTCCTACCTTTTTTTAATAATTCACAGAACAGTTTCCTCCTAAGACCTGTTCTGAAATGCCTATAGGGTTATATTTTTGCCTTCTTTTAAAAGACCTATCAACATTTCTATAAATGTTAGTTTTTAGTCTTTTATGGGAATATCTAATTGATCTTCAAGGTGAAGGATTATCTGAACTTCCTTGAGAATATCCATTTAGCCTTTTAAGGGAAGAGCTAGTTAGTTCTCTATTAAAATGATTTTATGATTTTTAAGTTGTTAGATCTTTTTGTCCTTTTAAAGGAGACCCATATTGGTCTTTGATAAGAATCCTTTTTTTGAAGATGCTTAAGGAAGAGCCTTTGAAGCATTCTATTGGACTGATTGTAAGAAAACTTCAGTAAGAAAACTTATTTGGTCATACATGAGAAGACCTCTTTTAATATATTTACATTTCCTATTAAAGGTCATATTTTGTATCAAACTTGAAGAATTATTAAGTCTTTTATAAATTGATTTTGGGAAGGCTTAATAGGCCTTAATTAGAAAATCTATTTAAAAACTATATTTTCCAAAATGAACCGAACCGAAAAAAAAATTCCTTACTTATTTACAAAAATTATGGGGAAGCATGAAATTAAATTTTTATTTTTGAAGACTAAAATTACTATCCTTGGTATCCTACGGCGATAAGGATAATGCCATTGAAATTCCCCCTAAAGTAGGAATTTCCCTAAAGTAGTTGAACAATTTGCCTTCTACATGCCATTGCTTAAGTTCCTTGGTTGAAGACTATTAAAAATTCCTTCATTCCACCAATTTTTTGGCTTTCTCTGAGAAATACCAACAATTTGTGATATTGACATTTATTTTCGCCAAAAAAAGAAAAAAAAAACAATAGTCAACCCTTGAAATAACATTTGACGTTAGATGACGGATAACATTTTTATACTTGACAAACTGACCACAAAAACAAATAAATGATGGACTTGATGACAGCAATAAAACTCATTGAAATGGTTTCACATCATTAAAAACTCTCGATTTTGCAAAATCGTTCATGGGCAAAAGAGGAAGAGAGAAATTGGGCCTTAGGCTTATGATGTGGAGCCACAGACACTCATGGCAAGTTGCTGTCTTAAGTCTTTCGTTTTTCAATCACTTCAACATGACTTTCATTTCTTTATTTTTATTTCAACGATATTAGTTTCTGTTTTTACTTAAATTTTTTTTCATTTTATTTATTAATTACCTTTCGACTTTGTAAATCATGATTCCAAAAAATTAGTTATGTTTCAATATTAATTTTTATTTTTGTTGTTGTTTTTGTTCACGTTTAATTTTTTTTTTTGCTAACGTTATGAACACGTCGTCTTCACACGTTTTTCAGTTTGTTAACAGGTCCGTTGTTGTTTTGAAAAAAAGGTTAGTTAGATTCGTTATTCAGCTTGGCTAAGTTAATTAAAAACAAGACACAAATGTGATGCGGTCTGTTGTATCCACCATGAAAATGAAACACTTGAAGTTGATTGGATGGCGTCCGGGCCAAGACTGAACATTTGCTTGCTGCGTTCGGCGAATATGAATGGCTGATCATCAAAATTGAAACACAAACCACGGCGACGTGAGCTGAAACGCTGACGTTCGATATAGTGGCTGCAGTATGGAGTGTGGAGAAACGAAATTGTAGCAGCGCTAGTAACAACAGTAGCGGTAATCGGCATCCATGGCGTTGAGAAGAAAAAACAAAACCAAAAATCGAATGCAATCTTCTCAATGCTTCAAATGAAAAAGCCTTACAAAATCCCAAAAAATACAACAAAACTCGTTCTTGATTAAAATTGTCCAAAAACACAAACAAACCAAAAACAAAAAAAAAAAAACAACGATGAAGTTTTTGGGAAAGATGAATGGTTGAGTGAATGACCAACAGTGGTTTGTGCAATGCTCGCAAATGATATGCGAGAAATTGGTAAATAAAAAACAAAAAATGATATTCACCTGTCACCATATTAAAAAAAAAATCCAAAAAATAAATGACACTTTTTTCTCCTAAAGAAAACTGGAGATCAGCACAGTTTTAAAGATGGGGAACCCTAACAAATATTAAAGCGCCAATATTTCCAAATTGCACCAAAATAAATCCTCATATCTTTCTTAATCCTTATTTGTTTTTTCTAAATTGGGCTCCAGTTTTGTCTAAACCATGCATGAACAACCAAAAATGCAAAAAAAAAAAAAATTAAGGAAAATCTTATTTTTGTTCGCCGTATTTTTGTTGGCATACCTCCTCATTCTCAATGAATCTAGAGCATGAAAGGAATTTCTTGCACTCAATTCCGCAATATGTGAGCTATCTCACTGTTTTTGGTGCCATGACATATTCAAAATATCCAAAATGGACTTAAGAGTCAAGACTTAATACCGTGGCGCCCAATTAATATATTCATTACAAGAGAAACCTAATGTTTCCTTACCCCATGTCAAAAAGACACAACGGATAAGTTTGGGATTCTCTATGATCTATTATATGCTATAAAATAAAACAAGTAAGAAAATATTAAGTTCTCCCGGCCCGAACTTTTAATACCCTCCACAATTGGGTAAAGGAAACGTTTTTATATACAAGTATCTGAATTCAAACGTGTTCACTTTAAACTACAAATATCTTTAATATTCTTTGGATAATGCTGACAAACTTTTCAAAAAACCATAAAGTGGGTGAGACCGTTGGGGTCCATACCGAAACGAGAGATGAAAAAACTGCAACCAACTTCAGACTGCTGTTATTTCTAAGCCACTCGTTCGACAGCTTTTAAAATTATTCCAGTGACAGCTTATTATATAGTTTAGAAGTGTATAAAAGCACTTTGGTTAGAATTTTCCAGAAAAAAAGTTATTCGTGATGGAATTCAAGCGTGATAATGTGATTTCCTTATATTTGGCTGGAAATCCACAAGTGGTTATCGTTAGAGACCTCTAGCATTTAAATGTGAATAAATCTTTTGTGTCTCGTACCATCGCTCGTTATCGTGATACTGGTAGCGTAGACCGACGTGAAGGAAGTGAACAGAAGAAAACACTAACATAAGCAGAATGGTTCGAAAAGTAAAGAAGCGACTTGATCAGAACGCAGTGGCCGAAAACTGATTCGTGAGCTGAACATATTCCATTCGGCAAATATTGAAAAATTAGCTCGGGTTAAAGCCATTAAGGTTTCAAAAAGTGCCAGAACTTACACCGCAACTGAAAAAAGATATACTCAAAAGAGCTAACGAAGAGCTGCTTCGCTTGGCTGAAAGTGGTGAACTGCCGAATTTGCTTTTCTCCGATGAGAAAACATTCGTTGTCCAGTAGTTTGTAAACAAACAAAATGATCGTGTTTACTTGCCAAGGAGGTCAGCTGTAAATGTGCACCTTCGGTTGGCCACCAGAACTCAAGCGCCGACCATGGTGTCTGGAGTATTTTGGAAAGCAAGGTTGGCACTAAAAAATACCAAAGTGTCGATCACCTCAAGCAAGCGCTTCGCCGGGAATGGACTAAAATACCGCAGAGCAACACTCGGGCAGCGTGTGTGTCATTGGCAGTTTTAAGGCCATAATTCGTGCCAAAGGTGAACAATTCGAACAAATCTAAATTTATTCCAAAATTTGATGTTATTTCCGACATTTTTTGCTTTCATTCAATAACATTTAAAAAAGGTAAAAATGATGGCGTTTGTCTTGTTGCAGTTTTTTTATCTCGCCCTGTATATGTCGATAGCGGCACTGAAAGTTTTAAGCTCCTTTACCATTAAGTCTAGGGATGTTTTTGAATGCAGGAGATCCTTGGAAAAAACTGGGTTGTCTATCAAGCTCTGTTGGATTCCTGGTCATTACAATATTCCAGGCAACGATATTTCAGACGAATTGGCTAGCTAGGGTCCAAATCAGCCATCATTGAAGTTGAGAACTCGGTTAAACCACCCCTGTGCCACTTCTTCCAGGTATTTCATAGACATTGCTCTGAGAGGAATCAACAAAAATGGCTGGATGAAAGGTGATCTAGTGTCTCCAAGATTTCAGATGAATTGGCTAGGCTAGGTCCGAATCAGCCATCATTGAAGTTGAGAACTCAGAACTCAGTTAAACCACCCCTATGACACTTCCTCCAGGTATTTTATAGACATTGCTCTGAGAGGAATCAACAAAAATGGCTGGATGAAAGGTGATCTAGTGTCTCCAAGAGAATCTGGTCCATGCTCTCTGAGAAGAGAAAAAAATCGTTATTGTCCTTGTCGAAACCAGATTTAAAACTTGTGGATGGCATAATCACAAGTCTCAGCAAGGTGAGGGCAATGACCTCGAAATGGAACAGCGATTATATTGATTACTCTAGAATCTATCAAGTCGAAAAAGTAATTGAGACGATCGAACATTTACTCTGCCACTGTCCAGCACTCATTAACGTGAAACACAGGTTAGCGGGGAACAACTGCCACACTACTTGTCTCTAAAAACTGACTGTAAATGAGAACCGAATCCAATCTCCCTCTTCGATTGTCAATTCTATTCTCTGGATCGGTTCGACTGGATCAATTTTTAGTGAGAAAGGATTACAACCGCTAGCACTGACTATAAATGAGAATAGAATCCAATCTCCCTCTTCGATTGTCAATTTTATTCTCTGGATCGGTGGTGAGAAAAGAAAGAACAACCTTTCTCTTTGAATGCAGTTTCAATTCTCGATCCGGCTAGAAGGATCAATGTAACTGAGAATAGAGTCCAATCTCCATCTTCGATTTTCAACTCTATTCTCTATTCGGCTCGACTGGAGCAATGTTTAGTGATAAAGGAACCGCTCGCTTGGGTGTAGATTCAATTCTAGATTTAATTTAAAAATATGTATCTTAAGTACTACTGAAACAAATCTAACTTAACCTAATCGCAGGCACACAATTATTCTTATATATTCTAATATTGAATGGAGAACATAGCTTGACATTTCATTCAAGTGGTCTTGTACATCTACTGAGCTCATCGATATATGTGCGTGTGGGTCAGCGCACAAGATCACCGAATTGTTCAAATGTGGTGCTTTATGGCGGCTGGGAATTATGTATTTTTATAATATTTATTGTTTATTGCTAGATTTTACCGGCGCCTCATCCGCACTCAAAAGTATGTAGAAAGTATTTTGAACACTGACTCTACAGTAATTCTTCAATTATCCTGAAGACTTAAGTGGCTAAAGACGACACCGTAAAATGTCTAGTCGTGGATTGCCCTTATAACTCCGATTCCTATTAACAACATCTCCACCTTTTCCACCAATCTTTCTTTCTTTAGGATGAACGCAATGGACCAGCAGACTCTCCAGCAAATGGCAACCACGGGTTCTTTAATCTAGCATATCCTTATTTCAGAGGTTGTTCGATGTGAGAGACTTAATGTAAAAATTATTACGCCAAAAACACTAGAAATTGTTGCAAGGCCAGACACTTCCGAATTACTTTATTTATGTTTTATTTTTTTAATACAAATAATTTAGGAAAAAAAACTGCTAAGATTTTAGTTTCACTATCTAATATTAATACAATGTCTGGTATTAAATCCCCGCTTTCACTGAGACCTACCCAAACATCGCTTACAATATTGGTGGAGTCGGACCCACCTTAATTTGCTTACATTGTCAATGTTCTTTTGGGAAGAAGCCACTCAAAAAAGTTTTTTATGTAACCTTACCTTCGAGTATGTAGGAGGCTTCCTTATACTATATTCTCATTGGAATTTGAACTAAGGACACGATTCGTAATTTATAGCAACATAATTATTTCTTACTATTTATATTCACGCAGCGAAAGTCTGCCCGAAATCCACTGACAATGAAAGCGAAAGTTAGATGGGTCACTGGTGTTATTTTATTTGGGTCACTGGTGGATACAATCCCATTTTAGCCTCAAATAGTTCAGTGATTGCGGATTTATATGTATATTATTGAAAATATAGAATTTGTCGGGACAAATTATAGATTTAAAAAAAAAATAAAACACAATGATTCTACTGTCCTGTTTTTGTAAACGAAGGGTAAGGTAAACATTTTTTTAAAATCACACATTATCGGTCCCACCTTACGTTAACCTGTGAAAACTTGTAATAATAGATTTAAAATGGATTTTAACAGCCTTTGTATGAATATATTGCGCCATTTCCCACAGTTTGAATAATTTAAGAGCTTCTCATAGGCTTAGGAATTTACTTTTTAATTTTTGTCGGTTTTTTCTTCATTTGACGAATATTTTTACTTTAAATTTTGCTTTTTTAGTGAGCTGTAAAAGTTCATATACATACAACACCCAAGGCATTACAAGTTATATATTAATGGGAAAATATTAGTTTTCAAATGAAACGTAAAGAATGACAACATTTTCGAAAGTGTTTAATTGTATTTGTGTCGGATTTCCCATCATAATAGTTACTTGCAATATAAAACAGCCACTTGAATTGTTTAACTGACCACAATTTCAAAACGTAAAGATATTTTTAGAAATAATAAAGTTTAATACTATTTCTAAAAATATCTCTCAAAA